GAAAGAGAAAGTGAGGGGGAAAAGTCCAAAAGTCGAGAACAAGAAAAGAAAACGTCTAATGAGGCAATGTACAAAAAACTGAAAGGAAAGAAGTGTGAAAAGTGAAGTTATGGTACAGCAGCAGAAGACTCGGTGATCTCCATTGGCAGTGGAGGTGGTTGTTCAGCAGCAGCCTCCTCAGCTTTAGTTTCCGTCGCTAGCAGGGGCGGCGGCGGCGTCGGTCCCTCCGGCGTCGTCTTTCCCTCTCGAGAACTTCGAAGCTGATGATCATCATCCTCCCCTTCAGCACTTCCTCCTCCTCTTGCACCTTTTCGACCTCCTTCCTCGATGCCGCCGCCGCCATCCTCATCATCGAGCGTACTCTGCAGCTGGTGCGAGGCGGAGAGCAGCAGCTGAAACTGCCGCCGCCGCTTCTCCAGCTTGCCCTCGATCTGGGCGTTGATCTTCTGCAGCGAGGCAATTTCCCCCTCGAGCTGGTTCAGCTTCAGCTGCGTCTCCTGCGTGCTGGGGTGGTGCTCGATGATGCTGGCCACCGAGTCGTAGTCGAGTTTGTTGCAGCGGTGCTGCTTCGCCTCCGCCAGCTCCAGCTTGCAGGTGGCCAGCTTCTCGCGGGCGCCGGCGATGGAGCGCTCAATGCCGCGGTACAGCGTCTCGTAGTTCTCCAGCTCGATGCTGATCATGCGGATCGTCTGCACCGACTTGGCCATCGCCAGCTCCGACTGGTCGATGGCCATCAGCAGGCGGGCCGCGCTCAGGTCCGACTCCAGCTCCGACTCGGCGCCGTCGTTGTAGCACCAGAGGATGAGCGACTTGATCAGCTGGCTCAGCTTGCGGTCGTCGCCGATGCCGTCGCCGTCTATGAGCAGCTTCTTCTTCATGATCTCATCGTCGGTGGTCATCGCCTGGAGGAGGCGGGCGGGCAGTGAGGAGGATGAGGANATGAGGAGGGTGCGGTGGCGGTGGTGGCGGAAGAGGTACCAGCCATTGTGTTGTCGTGCTGTAGAGTTGTAGTGTTCCAAATCGGTGAATCCACAGGGCTCGTTTCTGGATCGCTGTGCTTCTGCTGCCGAGCTCAAGCCAAGAGGGAGATGTGCAGCGGACAGGCGCGCGCGCTCGGCCGCCAGCAGAGATGCGTCTACTCCGTCTCAGAAGAAGAAGAAGAATTGTGAGAGAAGAAGCTGGTTCTGACTCGCTCTCTACCAAGGCTTCTGCTGTTGCTCTCTGGTTGTGTTTTGCAGGTGTAGAAGTAGAACCAGAAAACGCAGCAGCAGAGCGATAGCAGCAGAGGGGAAAGTGAAAGGAAAAGAGAAAGCCTGCCAGTCGGCCAATCTGTCAGCAGCAGAGCGCGTGTTTTCATTTTTGTTTCACCACTCGGCGTGCATATTTCCACAGCAGCAGCTGCTTCAGCACTGAAGGCAGCAGCACTGCGTAACCTTCCTCAAGCAGCCTGCTGCAATCCCAATCCAGGCAGCACCATTTTCAGTGTTGATACCCCACCACCACCAACAACACCACCTCCAGGACTGTATATCACCACCTGGAAACTGAGAAACAAACTTCAAACAAGCTCAACTTTTACCTTTCACCCCCTCTCTCTCTCTCTCTTTCCAACGACGATGCTTCGACACATCCTCTCTCGAAATAGAGCGGCCCCGCAGCTGCTGCTGTCATCGGCCAGCCGCCGCGACTACCACGAGAAGGTGATCGACCACTACGAGAACCCGCGCAACGTCGGCTCGCTGAACAAGAACGACGAGGACGTGGGCACTGGGCTGGTGGGCGCGCCCGCCTGCGGCGACGTCATGAAGCTGCAGGTGAAGGTGGACGAACATGGGCGCATCATCGACGCCCGCTTCAAGACCTTCGGCTGCGGCTCGGCCATTGCCTCCAGCAGCCTCGCCACCGAGCTGATCAAGGGAAAGACACTGGACGAGGCGCTGGAGGTGAAGAACACCTTCATCGCGAAGGAGCTCTCGCTGCCGCCGGTGAAGCTGCACTGCTCGATGCTGGCGGAGGACGCCATCAAGGCGGCCATCAACAACTACAAGGTCAAGAAGGAGAGCATGGTGGTCAGCAGCGGTCAGGGCGGCAAATAGAAGAACCGAAGTGA